GGCGATGAGGCGGAGGAGCCGGTAGTAGAAGGTGCGGAGGGCAGGGTTTGTGCCACCTGGCAGTCGCATCAGTTCGCCGTCTGTATAAGTGCAGAATCTTCGTTCCGTAGCCTACCTTTGCTTGCCTGGATCTGGAACAGCCATATGGATACGTCGATAGCAATGCACAGCGGCCGTCCCGTCTCCTCAAACTGCTCGACGGCGAACTTGGAGAGGGCGATGCGCTCGCCCGGGCCGATTTCTTTGTATATACTGGGACCATTAGCTGTCGCGTATGCTGCAGGTCCGTTGCGCACTCACCCATGAATCCCCATTGCGCCTCCGAGATGTGCTGGGCGTCAACGAGAGCTCTGGGGTCATGATGTTGTGCGCCAGGTGCCGAGCAGGGTCTGGATAAGATTGTTGCCATGGAGACGGGCCGAAACGCGAACCGCATTCCGTGCAACACACGGTCCCGCACAGAGACACGACAAAGAACCCGCCCACCCCACGACAGCTGCATTGTTAGACAACCGCACAACATGGCGCCCCGAGGACGAAAGCTGTTCACCAGCGACGACGCCAGCCGCGACTTCCCCGACTCGTCCCCCGACCCACTCGCCGCTTCCATCAACGAAAAGAGACTGCAGGCGCGACGCACTGCGACACGCCCCGCCACCACGCCGCTTGCCTCAACCTCGCCCAGCAAGCAGAACCGGCGCGTCAGCATGTCTGAGCAGACGGTCGAATTCTCGTCACCGACCAAGTCGATGGTCCTCAGCACCGGCCGGCCTGGAGGAGCAAGCCCGTGGCGCATCAAGGTTACGGTGCAGGCCGAGCCGGGAAGCGGGTCTGAGAATGGAGAGGCCGAGTCGCCATCGATTAAGCGGGTGACGCGCACCAAGACCACGACTGTTCCTCTGAAAGACCCAGACGCGGCATCGCCAGTAAAGCGCCGTGGGCGACCCAGGAAGTCAGACGGACCAGCAAGCGCCAAACCAAAGCGCGCAGGCACTCCCGTCCGAGCCCGGTCCAAGTCCGCGTCAAAGAAAACCAAGGATGTGGTGGCAGAGTCGGACGTGGGAGAACCGGGACCAGGCGATACGCCCAAGAAGCGCGGCCGGAGGAAGAGCGTTGCCGCCAGCATGGTCGAGAACGAGCCGACCTCTCACGTGACACATGCAGTAGAGGCACCAGCACCAGAGCCAGCACCGAAGAAGAGACGCGGCCGGCCCAAGAAGACCGTGCAGGCGGCACATACAGACGACGACATCCTGGATCTCATTGGGAGCAGTGGCCCTCCGACTGTCGTCACGGATGCAGAGCCTGTTGAAGAGCCAGAGCGGGAGCCATCTATAGGGTCGAACATCGTGGTAGCCAGCCCCTCATACCAAGGATCTCAAGAACCTCAGACCAGAGAGAGCCCACGGAGAGCACGTATCACGGAAGATTTGCCCCAGGACTCGTCTGACGAAGGTGGCGGCATCAATACACCACCACTCAGCGACGAGGAAGGTCCTGTGTCTGAACCACGTGGGGTGGCCCAAGTCGAGCCGATGGAATTCCGGGACTTCGACGATGAATACGGCGTGTCAGAGGCTACAATCTATGCACTGGACGAGGGCATTACAAGAATGCCAGATGATACCATCGTCCTTGAAAGCGAGAACTTCAGTATGATATCCGTCGACTCTCTCCCCAGCATCGGCGGATTCAGCAGCCCTGCAATTCAAGACACAGGCAGAACTCCAATGGCAGCGCAGTCTGGCCTGACCATGGACGCATCCTATCTGAACATAGGAGCAGTCAATCCCCGGGAGCCGCGCATCAGGCCCCTAGTGCCCCAAGAGCCTTCAGGGAAAGCCTTGCCGTTAGTAGTTCATCTGTCACAGCAACCATCTTCATCTCAAGTTCCTATCAGACGCCAGAAAACACCAGCAAACGACATGCCTGTACTCTCGAGTCCTCCTGCTATTCAACCTGCGGAGGTGCCTGTTGCGAAACCGGACACCCCGAAAGTCGCACGAGCAGTTAAAGCAGGAGTAGCACTCCAGGGCGTCTTGGACCCCACTCGATTGACACCTAAATCACAGTCGCCCAACGTAACATCGACAGAGCAAGAAGACCGGCTGAATGACCTGTTCCGTGGGTTTAGTGACGGCACCAGACGGGAACTCCAAGCTGGCCTTCGACTTGGACAGCAGCTGGCTCAACAAGAACCGAGCCCAGCTCCTGTCCACTCCTTGTCTAGCCCGTACAAAGTCACGGCTTCGAATACCGATGACGTTTTCCTTCCAGAGAAGAGGCACCGGAAGTCACGTCTTCTTACGCCCGATGACAACCCTGAATATGCGCTACCGCTCCCTCCAGCACAGGGGCGACTATCTCTGGTAGCGTACCCAACTTTGCAAGTTCAGGATGATCACGATAGTCATCTACTCAGTCCTGCTAGAAGTGAGGATGGGATGAGTTGGCGAGTCGACACACCTCCGGTCAGACAGAGTAGTAGCGGGGATAAACGCATGCTCGTCGCTATGAACGAAGCAGGAGAGCGAATTGAGGGCGCGGATATCTTCGTCGCACACCCTGAAGACCAGGGTCAAGAGGACTATTCTGACATCTGGCATGAAGAAGCGAGCAGGTCTGTCACTGAATCACCAGCCATGGAGGAAATGGATAAGACTCCTCAGTTGCAAGACCTTTTCGCGACTGATGGTGAGATCAAGCCTTCACGAGGAAAGATTCCAAAGACCTGGCGCCGAAAGAGCTCTGGCAACTTCCAGTACAGCGATGAAGCCGAGGAAGATGTTGAGATGGAACCGATAGCGAGCGACGAGCAGCCACCATCCCGCATTGACAAGGGCAAGGGGAAACTTGTTGAACCTGACGTTAGCAGTAGTGGAGCTAAGCGTATGCTTACTGCTACGAATGAAGCAGGAGAGCGGATTGAGGGTGCAGATATTCTTGTTGTGCACCCTGAGGAGCAAGACAACGACGATGAAGCAAACGTGAGCGAAGCGAGCGACGATACTGGCATGTTCTTCCAATCCAACTTGCCCACTGTTTTCAAGTCGAAGAGGTCCCGCCCATCAAGAAAGAACACCGAGAAACTGGACTTGTCACTACTTATGGCGGAAGGTGGAAGTATCCTTCCAGGGTCTTCGCCAACTGCTAGAACACCCGTTGCTCCAAAGCCCAGCCCCTTCAAAGTTGCGCCACCTCGATTCCCAGTTCAGCAATCCTCCCCAGTCAAGAGCAGTCCGCTGAGACAAGAATTGCGAGCCTCGGACTCGGACAGCAGCTTTCAACGTACTGAGAGGTCAATAATTCCTGAGAGCTCACCTTTCCGTACGCAGGTCGACGAGAGTGTGGCCTCTGACGTACGCCAGCTTCAACAAGAGATGGAGGGTATTAGCGACTCAAGCATCCGACGGGTACGGGAGGAAGCGGATGCTCATGCATACGCCTACGACATGCGAGACCGCACTTTGCATGAAATTGAGGAAGTTACAGAACAGTCGCAGAGCTTCAGGACAACGGCTGTCTTCCCATCTTCTCCACCACAGCCAATTCGGATCAGTACACTAGAAGCACAACGCGAGCAGAGTATCATCTCGAACAGCACAGAAGTCTCACCAACTGTCCTTTCTCCTGAGTACAGTTCCAATAGAACGCAGAAGTCGACACCCTCCACCTCCCCTCCCATGGAAGAGGTGCCCAAGGCATCCAAGCCTCAATCCGGCGGCTTCTTCAGCCGTGTAACATCCGCCTTTTGGGCCACACCCACGCTACCCACCCCCCACCCCGCAACGGAATCCTTCTCCTCCCTCCCCAAATACCAACCTTGGACAAAAACCCACTACAACTCACTGGACGCCCTCTACCAACTCCACAAAAACCACCCTTCCCTCTTCCACCCCTCCGCCTCCGCGACCAATAAATCCCTCCTCGACTCCTTCCTTGCTACTACCAAAAAATCTTTCGTAGGCGCGCAGTTCACCTCCTGGGGATATAGCTTAGAAATGAGCCAAGAGCTGGTCGTCCTGTGTGCGGTATTTATGCAGCTCCTGACTCTCAAAGATGAGGCCGAGTACGAGCGACTCACGGGTGAGAAGATTGAGCTAGGCAATTGTAACCCTGGACCTAAGGGAACGTTGATTGCGGAGTTGGAAGTTGCGAGAAGAGTGGCGAGCGTGGTTATGGGTGAAGCGTTGAGGAGGGATGAGAAGAGGGGTGTGAAGGTGGTAAAGAAAGGGGGAATGAAGATTATTTGGCCAAGTGGGTCTGGGGTCTGATTTCCAGCGTCTGAACAGTTCTGAGGGTTCGAGCCTCTGAGCTTTTTGCGGCCAGGGGATCGATGTGTGGGTTTGAAGGTTGTGCGATGTTCGGATGGGCTTACGATTCATGTACTTTGGCGCTTGGGGAGCGTGTATGATACCAAATTGCTTTATTTTACGCGTTATGACATTTTTGAATTCTTCTTCGATATACCTATTCCACTGCGCTCAGTCGGGTTATGTTTTGACGTCTACCCTCTTCCTCATTCGAACGATAAGCCAGGCAGAGCAATGGGTTTGCGCCTAGAAATACAAAAAAAAAGGCTTATGAACATCTTCAATCAACCAGAAACATATGGGTCAGGACACTATGATCTGTGACAGAACCGGGCATCGTGTGCTATGGATGTCGGCCCACAGGTCAAGCGATCTCGGTCATGTCTGCCTGCAGTTGCCAAGCGCCAATATGTACTCTAGATAATAATGGCAAGTGTTCACAGTTTCAAAAAGCTGGTTTTGGGATGGAGTTTACAGGCGGAACTATTTCCTACTTGTTAAATTTCGCTTCGGCAAATGGAAACCCAAATACCGAGAGCACGGACCTTTGTTTTAGAAATAAAAGCCCGTGCATGTCTTAGCACATCCCAAAAGAAAATGCTTGAATTACCTTACAGAGTAGTAGAGAGGAATAACAGTAAAGTATATATGTTTCTCACCATGCCAGAGTATACAACAACATCTACAGGCTTCATGGTCTAGTGGTATGATTCCTGCTTTGGGCTTAGTGTTCAAACCTGCAGGAGGCCCCGCGTTCGAATCGCGGTGGAGCCCTGTAACTCCGCCTTCTGGCTTTCCCTTTTGGCAATTTTTGTACTCTGCCTTCTGCTGAATCTCTTTTCTTTTATGCTTATTAATTAATAATTATACCACTCCAAGATACACTTGGCCCCAACGGCGTTCAGTATCAGATTCTTCACGATTTCAATCTCTGTTCGTGCACCTACACTCATCACACCTCAGCCAACACACGCACCTAGGATACCCAGCCGCCGAGCGCTCTTTACAGAATGCACCAACAAACAAATAAGTAAATATTTGTTTAAGGCCTCGCTTGGAAGGATTACAGACGATCGGTAGCTGTATAGGAGAAAGTGCGTTTGCATATTCTTCGCGTCATGGACTGTTTCGGGTTGCTTGGTCCCGTGACCTTCAAAGCCTCCAACTCCATGTTTGACGCTTGAAAGTTCGGAAGATAACAACCCTACGAGCTGCAGTTACAACCTACAAGATGTCTTCATGCAGCATCCAAACGGGATAACGAGTGATTTGAATGATATAATTATTCTAGGCAGGCGGAGGAAACGTCACGTGATCTAGATACTTCCCCTGACGTCTAGATGCACCATAACTTTTTATAGTCGTGTCAAAAAGACTCTAATTTCATCCCTTACCCTACCTGCACCTCTCCGTTGGCTTTCTTCCCTCAGATGTATCTTCAACACTGTCATCTTCGATGCATCGGTCAGTGCCGCACAGTGCCTCAACTCGCCTCCTCCATATCCAAACAACGTGTTCTAAAACATCTCGTAGGTTAAAGAAACACGTCAGGGCATGTTTTTAATTAGTGTGGTGATAAGACATCTTCCACCCGTGCGTCTGTTGCCACATCACAATTGTTTCAATCTCCCCTTTCCAAACCATCAGATATCGACATACTTTACGATGCTCACCAAAAGTCTTCCCCCTAATTCTCCTCTCCGTCCTCCTCACTTCCCTTCTCTCCTTCGAACTCGACAGCCTCGGTTTCTCCGTCGCCATTCCCATTACATTCTTCCCCGGTCAAGAGCTCTCCAACACCACACCCACCATCTGCAGAGCTCTCGCCGTGTCTGGCCTCGGTAACTCCAGGCCCAAAATATGCGATCAAGCATATGCCGATAATCCCTTCTTTGGGCCGAATCTGCCAGACCGCTTTTGCCTCGTAAATGACAACAGCAAGGATCCAAAGGCCAGAACCTTTCGTACACTAAGACGAGTGCTTCAAGCAAAAATGCAAGACTGACTTGTGGTGTAATGCTGTAGCAGTACGACGGGATTCGAGACCCAACAATGACACTGCTACGCCCATGACTGGGTTAGGAGATGGGGATGTGGAGGCGTGTGAGGTGGCTGCGGTGAGGGGCTTGCCTGGGGATGGTGGTGTGACGAGGGTGGATCTGAGGTATAGCCGGGTATGGGATTGGATGTTTAGGCATGTGTGATCTTTGGTGGTCGTGGATTTTAAGTTTGCTAACTTGGGGTAGTGTGACGAGAGTGAATGAGACGGCCCTGGAGAAGGGGGTGAAGCCAGAGGTGAAGGTTGAGGATTGTTTGGATATTGGGCATGTGTGGTGAATGAGGGGTTTGGGGATTGTTGGCGTGGTTTGTGGTTAGGGTGATATTTGGTCGGGGTTGGACGGATTTTCTTCTCGTACATTTTCTAGTAGATTGGCTTTGTATCGTTTACTCCACGTGTTGTAATATGCTATAAACTAAATTCGTTATAATCCATCGTGTTTGCATGTCCAAACCCTCTCCAGAACGAGAATGTGACAGCGAGATAACAGTGATCGGGTACTCATTTAAAGTGTTCTACGCCGTAATTCTGTCATGAGGGACTCAAGAATGAAGTACAACACCTTAACACTGTCCTAAACCAGCATGTTCCGTGTGCGACGCCTCAGTACGTATTGTGTAATGTGGCGGTACTTTATTTGCTCTTGTGTGCTTGCGGTACTTCACTGCTCCCATGGACTCGCGGGGATTCTGTGTTCGAGCGCAGCGGAAGGACAAATATTGCTTGTAATAATTTGCGGTGAGACACTTCCCTTACTGGGATGAGGAGCATTCCCAGACGCGGATTGACTGAATGTTAGGTTGATGCGGGTAGCATAATTTGCAATAGCTTGCGTCGTGTTTGCGATGTGGGTGGGTAGATTGTTGATTCGGTGACAAAACAGGACCTATACACTACATTAGTCGAAAATACCCGTTCCAAGTGCAGAAGCTTATCCGGGACCATGGACTGTGGAGTAAGAATGGAGCTACTCTCGAGAGCATCAGTTTGGAAGTACTGACCGTGATTCAGAGCCAAGAAAGTTATATCTATTCCAAAGCCGAAGTCACCAAACGGAGGGCCAACAGAGCCATTTCACGTCAACGAGATGCTTCTCGCTAAGATGGGTTGTGTACTGATCGAGATGCCGGCAGTCTCCGCCGTGCTCCCTACTGTCCCCTCGGCTGTTCCCTCTCCTGTTTTCTCTGCCGCTCGTTCCATCGTCCCCACTATTCTCCCTTTACGAGGCCTTCGAAACATTTTTCCTAACGCAACCGCGATTCAAAGGTTGACCGTAAGGATTTCTACGGCATAGAAGTGGGCCTAGCCATGAAATGGGTTCCCACTCAACTCATTCAACGGGAGCCTGAAACAGTAGGGCCCTTCTCGCCCTACGATGTATGTGTGCGTCTCCCAGGCGTGAGTGCAGGCTACGCTCTATTAGAAAACATTACTAGAGGCAGCGGTAAAGATAGCGCTCGTCTTAAAGACCGTTCAAAGGATTGGCAGAAGGATGCAGTTCAGAAAATGGTCACAGTATACGATCTGGAATGGAAGCCGACCGACGAGGGAATGACACGAGAGGCCGATGTGAATGATGGTTGGAAATTACAATGAGTCGGCATCTTCTTGCTAACGTGTGGTAGCATATTCATAGCTGAGGGTGGTTCCAGAGCTAAAGTAGATGAGGACAAACTGGAGAAATTGAAGTGTGTGGACATGGAGATGGAGGATTGAGTGCAGAGAGAGCTTAGCGCCGCGGGGCATGAAGGTTTTAATACTGGTTTTCATGTTTCTACATGTGCTATCGCTTTTCTTTTGTATCCTTTAGTTTACCAGGCAACTTTGCGATATTGTGTTTCGGACAGCATCGGTCAATCTTACTAGTGGACCTATCTGCATACTCTTGCGTCTTAGCCCTATATAACTGCCTACTCCTTCTCCTTCGTGACTGAATTGACTTCTCTGCACTTATTTGGCTATCCAGGAGTGATTCTACCTCCATCACTGCTGCAATGAAGCCAAGTCTCAGAAAATACCAAATATTGTTATTCAAAAAGAACAGGTTCCGTGGCGGGCCACTGTGCCGTCTCGCGTTCATACCAAATGTTCAACCTTACCACGCCACAATATTGTCTTGCGCTCATTCGGTGCCACAATTCTGTCATGGAATCTTTCCACGCCTCAATCCTATTACGGACAATTGAACTGCCACATCGTGCAGTTCTGAGAGCCACATAAACTTATCCTGAAACTGAATGACTGCTGGCATTTTGTAAGGTTCGTGACAGCTATTCAAGAATGCTTTGACAGAGGTTGTGGGCATGTATATAGGGTAGAGGGCATTCATCGTCGAGTTCATCATTCTTTTCGCTACTTGAACAGCCTCTACACTTTTATTTTGTGCTCCTCTCTACCTTCTTGCAGTCGCTCATTTGATTGGTAGTCGTTACATGCTCGTTCTTCCTTTCATTGCATCGTTCAATCAGTAGCCGAGACAATGAAGAGTGCCCTGATCTACACCTTGTCCGTGGCCGGACTGGCCTCTGCCACGGGCTCCCGTACCCTCCAGCCCATCCAAGACCTATCTGAAGTCATTCCTGGGATTCAAAAAAGGGCTCCGCAGGGTGTAGAAGCCTTCGGTCCCATGAGCGAATATCCCTTCTTGTACGCCCAGAAGAGTGCGTAATCCCTACTCAAATAGCATGTGCAAATACTGACCAAAACTAATAGGCAATACGGATGTCTTCGTTGCCAACTTTACCCTCCAAACCCCCGCTGACAATGAATTCATTATGCCCATCGAAGCGTTCGCCGACCAACTCAAAAGCATCACCTGCGACAACACCACCAACACCATCCACCTTGAATTTCCCTCCGTCGGCGAGTACGAAGAGGCAGAGAAGGTCTGGAACTGGGTCAATGAGAAAGAAGAGAACATATTCACGCTTGTCACGAAAGCAGGCCAATGCGACCCGGATAATGTCCGCGATCCTTTCTCTGTGACTGATATAACGTTTGATAGGAAAGGGCTTATTGCGACATTGAAGGCGACGAGAAAGACTTGGGCGGATGTGGCGCATGATTTCCATATTACGAGTGCGCATTATAAGACGACTGCGACGCCTAAGGCTAAGCAGCCGAAGCTGAGACGTCAAGAAGAGCCTTTGGTGGAACCTGGGGAGGAGAATGTGACGCCGCCAAAGGACGATGAAGAAACTACGGAGGACCAAGAAACCCCAGAAGCTGACGATGACGACGATGATGCCTTTGAAATGAAGATGGTCCTCCGCAGAGACATGTTCGACGCCATCAACAAGGTCACCGAAGAGACCGTCAAACAGGTCAAGGAAATCCCCGAAGAGACCAAAGAGGTCGTCCATGAGACCGTCGAAGAGGTCAAGAAAGTCCCCGAACAGGGCAAAGAAGTCGCTATCGATATGATTAACAATATTATCCCCGAAGTGCCCGCCAACCTCGATCTTAAAGCACAATTCAACCCTTCTCCGCTTACTCTTGACAGGAAATTTGGCGGCATGGATCTCACTATAAGCCCTAAACTGGAGACAGGTGGTAAACTTATCGCCTTGATGGAATTCCAAGTCGAGGGGGGCAATCCCTCTCATATGAGCCTCAAGATTACTCCTGAAAACATGTTTGCCAGCGCAGAATTCAAACTCACAGCCGACGGAGAACTTTCTAAGCCCTTTAAAAAAGAAATCGCTGGACTTGAAAT